TTCTTTCTTCTTTTATTGGGACCCCTATGATGCAAATGTTAGGATGCTTGATGTCCCAGAGGTCCCTTAAAGTATCCTCATTAAAGAAATTCTTTTAAAAAGAAAAAAATAATAAAGTATCCTCATTAAAAACCTTTTTTTCTTTTTTCTTTTCTGATTGGGTGACTTTCACTCTTCCGTCTTCCAGGTCACTTCTGTATCACTAAATCTGCTGTTAATTTCCCTTAGTGTATACTTTATTTCATTTGTTGTATTCTTCTGCTCTGAGGGGTTCTTTATACATTTTTCTAGTTCTTTTTTGAAGTTCTCATGTATTCCTCTGTTCTTTTCTTGAGTTCAGTGAACATTTTTATGACCATTACTTTGAATTATTTGTCAGGTAAATTACTTTTATTTGTTTCACTAGGGTTTTTGTTTCCCTCTGGGGTTTGTTGTGTTCTTTGGTTTGGAATATATCCTTCTGCTTTCTCATTTTGTTTGACTTTCTCTGTCTCTATGAAATTAGGAGAAACAATCACCTATCTCAGTCTTGAAGGTATGTCCTTTGTGGGAGCACCTCTATGTAGTCTGTGTGTGCCCAGTGACTTTTGTGGGAAAACTTGATCTGATCTGAAGCATGCATGGGCCAGATCTTTTTCTGGGGCACACTGAGGCCATAGCCTTGGTAGGGGTGGGCTGGAGCTTGGGGGGAGGGGGGCTAAGGCTGGAGCCGGGAATGGGCTGGGGCTTCTCCTGAGTTGCACTGGTGACTGCCACTTTTGCAGAGGTAGACTGAAATCAGGGGAGCTTGAGTTAGAGCCCAGTGCAAGCTGCAGCATCTCCTTTGGTGTGCTGGTGGCCACTGCCTTGGCAGGTAGCAGGACTGGAGCTGGAAGGGCTGGAGCTGGAGCCTGCTGTAGCCTGGGAGGCAGGCTGGGGCTGTCTTGGCAGGCCAGCCAGAGCACCAGGCACTTTTTAATTTGCCACCTCTGTGCTGGGATTGGGAGCAAGCAAGTCTGTGTGCATGCCCTTTAAAAATATTCTTGGTTTCCTACAGCCATCTGGTAAGCCTCATTGGTTTTCAAAACCAGCCAAGAGGCTTGCCTTCCCAGCACCAGACCCCAATGTGGGGCATGAACCCCTCACTCCTTTGGGTGGATTCCAAGCTTGTGATATCTGCCTCCTCTTCTGGGTTGCTCTCTGGTGGTATGGGTCCTGACTAGATCACTTCTCATCTCTACCAGTCTCAGTATGATTTTGTCTTTATATCCTTGGTTGTAGAAGAGCTGTTCGGCTGGGCTTCAGGATGCTTTTGGAGAGAATTGTTCTACGCATCATTGTAGTTCTGTTCTGTTTGTGGGAGGAGGTGACCTCAGGGTCTTCCCACTTCACCATTAATCCCTCTTCCTCTTTAATTTTCTGTAATAGAATAGGCTTCCTTTTAAACACCTGTTTCCAATAATGGTGGCGGGAAAGAAACATAAACCAGTTCATTAAATGTATCTTAATCTTTTCCTGTTTAATATAGCCCAAGTTCAGGTAAGTAATTAGTTCGAAGTTCAGATACTAGCAGAAATGTTTATTTCCTTCAAAGACATCCTCTACCCGCTTCAAATCTGGGTTCAGGAGGGCTTGTATATTCTCAGGGCAAGAGAATTGGGCAGGAACCCTAGATCAAATAACTCTTTTTGGCCAGCTTCTCGATCCTAGTGGAAGTATAACTCATCTGGTCTCCAGGCGTTGACCTCTTGTGTATCTGCACTCATAATACATGGTTTATTTTCTCAGAATGGTCAAGGCCGGGTAGTAAACTCACTCTCACCCTCGGAGTCAGGTGGCAAAACCACTCAGTTCCTCTGGGTTTGCCACACTTGGCTTTCATTGTCCTTCAAAATTCTCTGAGTTGTGTCTTTTATCAGGTTTCTGGTAGATCCTCACACCCCATATCCTCTGCTAAAGGGTCAGCTCACACATTTCCGTAATGATCGCGGGGAGGTTTGCTAGCCTTCAACTCTCAGCTCCTTTCATGCCCATCATTGTAGGTATGGGAACGTTCAGAACCCTTTCACACAACAGGAGTGTGGAAAAAAACTTGTGTGTGCTATTTTTGTATCTCCCTCTGCCTAAACTTTACACAATATCCCGTTTTACTCTGCTTTCCAGAACTCCAAACAGGAAGCAGGGCAAAATCTTCCTCTGTGGTTTGCAATCTCTTATAATCCAGTCCCACCTTTGGTCAAGGCCTAGGCCTTTTTTCTAGGTAGGGATACTTTCTTCCCTAGGACAACGAGGCCCAGGGTCTAGTCTTAATATAATAAAGCTTCAGAGGAAGAATGAAACAATTACTGAGAATGTAAATACTTTGGGAAGTATTAAGAAAGATTGTTTTTGCCTTATAAGCAGTAGGTCAGAGAGTACACAGATATGGCTAAACTTATGCAGGTACTGCTTAATAACTAAATTTTTGAAATACTGATCTGTCAGCCTTCTCACTTTATAGCTAAGTAATAGGGGTTCAGAGAAAGTTTTACAATACATTAATAGCAGGGCTGGGGTCAGAACCCAGGGATGTAGCCCTAAATTTTCTCTGTTATATTATGTTGAGATTTTTTTCCCAACAGGCTGTTAAACTCTATTCTTTGGAAATTTGAAATAAATTTTGCTGTATACACTAACACTGTTTTTGTCTTAGGAGAACTAGAAACACTTCAATTTCTACATTTACTCCTGTTTACGGAAAACATTTTTTAGGTTCTAATGATGATTAGAAACATTGTTGGGTCTGTCACTGAAAGGGAGTCACATTTCTCCACTGATTGTATTGTGTCTCTGTGGTAGCTCAGTGAAATCCCTTAAGTACACCTGGGGACTTCCACCCATTGGAATAATCTTTATTCCATAATCACTTATTTTTGCCTCTCTTTTGAAGGAAACCAGGACACGTCACCCCCTAACAGGTCTCTTTGACATAGAAAGTATTAGCACTTAGAAAAATAGCAGATGCAAGAGAGGCCCTCTGATTCCCCACCACACCTCCTTTTTACCTGAAAGTAGGAGATTAAACTCCCAGATGGAAGCCTATACCAGGAGGAAAGTAAACTTCTTATCATCAAGGACAAGAGGTTGAGATTGAGAGAATTCTATACCAATAGACCTTGTTGTATTGCTCTTTTGCTTTTTTGTGTGTGTGTGTGTTTTGTTGTTGTTGTTGGGGGGCGGTAATTAACTTTATTTATTCTTGGAGGAGGTACTGGGGATCAAACCCAGGACCTCATGTATGCCAAGCATGAGCTATACCCTACCCCTCAATAGACCTTATTAAAAAAAATTCTAATCTTCCTTTAGGCTCCCCACATAGTGTAGTTATTTTTCCACAATTGTCTCTCTTTGTCTGACCTAATAAAAAAGCAAGTACTTTTTTGCCATTTCTTTTGGTTTTCATTCTTGTTAGGGCTCCTATGTCACACAAAATTTATACTAAATAAATTTGTATGCTTCTCTCCCATTAATCTGTCTTATGTCACTAAATTATACCCTAAGAGTATGTGTGTATATATACTTTCCCTCTCTCTCTCTCTTTGTATAGAGATAGAGAGGATAGAGAGAGAGAGAGACAGACAGACAGACAAAGATAGTCAGATATTTTAAGGACTTGGCTCCTATGATTGTGGGGGCTGGAAATCTGCAGAGCAGACCAGCAGGCTGGAGTCTCAGGGACAGACTGATGTTGCAGTCTTGAGTCTGCAACACTGGTAAGTTGGAGGTAGAATTCCTTCTTCCTCAGAGGACCTCAGTCTTTTCTGCATGGTTCACATCTGTTATTGACAACTGCTAATGCCTCCCCTGTGCGTGGTTGGCATCTTACTGCCCAGTGCTCCCACCAACATCTCCACTCCTAATTTGCTGCATCCTTTAAGGGTCCCTGGAGTGCCAGGTTCCCTGGTGTCTTCTGCTCTAGGCAGCAGAGTGAAGAAGCTTGACTCTGCCAGTTTAAAATGCATCTCACTTTATTACCTGAGTATTGAAGCATTGTGACTTGCTCCCCTTTCCTGTGCTTCTCTTAGAGTCTTAGTAAAAACAACAGTATTTCTGCTGCATTCCTCCCAAGCCTACCTCCCTTCCTTGGATCTAGTCCTGGGAATTAGTCATTAAGCTAGGAGCTTGCTATCCTGCCAACATACTTCTCATCCAGTGTGAGAGCTGTGTGCCAAAACAGTCCTCTTCTCCCAGACATTCCAATCTGCCCATGACTGTCAACATCAGCCCCTTCTCCCCAAGGCTTATGTTTCACTTTTAATACATTTTATCGAACAACTGTCATTGTACAAGTTAGAAAGCTGAAGCCCAAGGAAAGGTAAACTTTGACTTTGCCGGAGGTCAATTGCAACGATAGATGTAAAGGAATCAGGGTTCCAGTCTGTCTCTCTGATTCCAGATACCAGCTACACCTCACTGGCTGTAAGAGATGCAAAAATTAAAGACACAGTACCCTCCCTCAAAGAGTTCACAACCTGGAAGCACAGTCTACAATATGTAGCTTGGATCACTTGTACATTTTGACAATGGATGTTGACTGATGGGATTAGCAATGGGTCAGATTTCAGACGTTGTGGTCCTG